GCATGCACACAGCTACAGTGGAGCTGACAACAGAGAGTTTCTTACTTTGGAGCAGAACAACCTGTGGTTGCACACTGCTAGCACAGTGCTGTGTAGTGGTTAAAACAGCCCCTTGGGAATTGTTTAGAAGCTCTAAGTCCTATTCTTGACTATACCACAGAAGTGGTTTTGACTGCTAAAGCTTTCTTTGCCTCTGGTTACTCCATTTTTAACAAGTAAAGGTAGTCAGCCATACATGTAAAGTGCCCTGAGTGAAGAACTGTATGTGGATGGAAACCACTGGCATTCTGCTTGTTATGCAGAACAAATACAGTTAGACCACAAAGAACTTTGCTGTAGATACCAGCAAGCAATTTCACAGTTAGTAATGGCCCATTCATAGAAAATTAATTTTTTTTATCTTTCTGTCTCTCAGACACATGCAAAATGGTTTTAAAAATTTTGGCTGGACTAATTAATCTGGTAAATATAAATCTCAGCTGTAGGATCACATCAAATATAATCTAGCCTGCGTGTATCATAAAGCATGCTTTAGTTTAAAATAGCTCTTGATAAAAGCTTCCCTTAAGCTTTAGAATTATTGTAGTGTTTGTGAGAAGACAAATTCTGGAGTAAATCCATTAAAATAAAGTATTTTACTCCCCATTTCCACTAGTGGCAATAACTTCAGAATCTAGGCCATATTACTTCATGCATGTTAACATTCAGTAGAAACACAGAGATTGCATATGTATTCTTTTGGTCATGCTTGTGAAGGTGGTATAAATTGTTAAACTCCGGTGCAGAGATTCACTAGATAGTATTCCTGTTTTCAGTGGTGTGTGGATTGAATATAGGCTGGACTTCAGCTCAGATGGGAGTTGCAGATATGAAGAATGAGATGGGGCCACAGGCAGAGCTCAGAAAGCTTGTAGAGAACTGATGGGCAAGGAAGAAACAAGTGGGCTTGAAAACTGTGTCTCATGCAACTTTAGCTCTGCTAAAATCAACTGCCAAGCTGGTGTGATTTGCATCTTTTATCACAACAGATAATCATCATCTTGTTTGCAATGCTGATGTGTGTTTATGGCATTAATACGGATTTTTTGAGAAATGGTATACATTATTTTTATCTGACTGCAAAAAAGATGCTTCAAGAATAAATCTTTGTTGTTCGGAAAGTGTAAGCCCGATGTGGCTGATAAATCAGGAGCAGGGGCCAAATAGCATATGAACAAAGTGAAGAACTGGCCAGTCTGATCAGCTGTGTGGGGCGTACTAATAACAACAGTGAATGAAAGTGAAGCCCACAGGTAGTCAGTTTTTAAAGAATTAAGATTGACAGTTTTACTATGATAGCAATGTTTAACACTGTGTAGGCCTGTGCTGCATCATAGATGCTGCTTTATATTAAATAGTCTTCAAGCATTACACAGCTAATTCAGCGGAGAAGTTTTATTTTGGACATTTGTTAGTGTTTTTTTCCACTCCTATTATAAATGGAATATCTTATTGTTGCAGATGGTACTGCCAACGGATGATTCTGAATGATGTACCAGAAAAACATTTAAAAATGACCTGGAGTAAACTCACAAAGGACTGGGTATCCCAGAAATATTCTCAAACAGAACATTTCCAGGAAAGACTATTTCTGACACTCCTTTTCAGAACCACGTTCAAAAAGTTATCTGATACCTGGGCAGACAAAAGCTGTGTGGAGGCAGATTGCACACAGTGCCTTGAGTCGTGAGAACTGAGCTGTTTTATGGATGTGTTTGCATTACTGTGGTGAGATGTCCTGTGCCTCAGTTTACCCATTGGTAGAAGAGTGGAGTGTGAGGCTTCATATTGTATCTGGACCAGGAAAATTATTTTGAATGATTTGTGACAAATGCCAGTTAGGAACATACACAGTCCTTTAAGTAAACCACTTCACAAACTGTAAGGCCTGAATATCTCTATGAACAAAATACCTTCCTCTCAGCTCTCACAGGAACCAAGTTAATTGGTAGGCCAATAACTATAATGAGGCAAAACCTGGGGTTTTGCATGTGTATAGTGAGATCCTCCCCTTGGGGCCAAACTCCTGTTCCATATTATAAAAGCAGTAAAGGGTCTCCTCAGCAGGTGCTACATAAAGGCATTTCAGCTTTGCCTTTGCAGTGCTGGAATTGCCAAGCTATTGCTTTTCTGAGTCTCCAAATGAATTCCCTAACCCAATGTGCAACAGCTGTGTGATAGATACAGCCTTGAGAAAAGGAGTGGTGAAAGAACACAACAAATGGGGATTTAATCAAATAGCATGGAGCTGTAAAACAGAGTGTTTCTACTCAGCTTTTCTTTGGGCAAAGGAGTCTCTTGGTATCATAGTTCAGAGAAGAGGAGTAATATGTGATTATATGCTGTTGAGGGCCACATTGTGTAGTTGTGAGTGAGTAATACTGGCTGTGTTCACGAATGCAATGAGTAACAGCACGGTTTGCTTAGAATGACAACTACAAACTTTACAGCCTGAAGAAAGATCTTTATATTAACTGCCTGTGTATTGCTACTGCCTCTGTAGATTTAATGAAAAAATGTTTTACCATGCACCTAGATTTTAGCTGTTTGAGCTAGGAAGTGAATTAGAAACCCCAATGAAATGGGGCAGGTCAGAAGGGGTGGAAGTAATTCTTCCAGTAAACTTTATTTGGGCAGAGTAGCATTTCTCTTCTTTCATGTGGAAGTAGTTGCTTTTTCTTCCTTCTAGAAGCCTTCTGATACATAGTTTGCACAAAAGATCTTTTCTCAAGTAAGACAGGTTTATATTAAGGACAAGAAACTGTGAAAGTTACTGTTTTGTACTTATCTTTGAAAAGGATACGTTTAGCAATTTTTTTTAATGCTTTTGGAAAGGAAAAGTTGTTATGTGTCATGTCAACCTGCGAGAGTTTCCACAGCATTTCTTAAGAGCTTTTAAAAAGTCTGTCTTCCTTGTCAAATACTGACTAAGCTGTTTGATCTGAGCTATGTCTGAAGTATGAAACAGGAAAAAACGTGAAAGAGGAGTTTGTATCAAACAAAATGTAGCTAGCTAACTACTGAGGTAGTATAATGTGTTAGAAAAATCAATGCCATTATGAAGCTGTCTTCTTAATCTTCTTTCTGTGTCATAAAATTTCCTTGAAATCTATCTATTTATTTATTGAGTGTGTATGCACTTTACAAAGTGATCAGAAGCTAAGCAGCAGCACCTGTCAGAGAAGATAAATGACTTACCAGCAAATCATCTTAGTTAAAAGGAAGACAAAAATCTAGAGAGCAGGGGAATGAGTTTTAAATTAGCCATTTGACTAAACTTTGCCCTAATGAAAGGCTAATCTTTGGGCCCCTCCAAAACAAATGAGAACATCTAGTTAGACACAACGGAAACCAGTCGTTGAAAAGGCTTTTTTCTTATGAACCTAATTGGAAACAAAATAGGTCCTTTGATAGCTGTCTTCATTTAACAGTATCTTTCCCTTTTCCTGATTTATGTACAGAAAAATAATAAAAAAAAGAATGGTTAATTACAAACATGTCTGCCCTTTTGCAGATTGAAAACGAAATATGCTTAAGTGAACCTAGCTAGAGCATCCAAAAAGAAAGCACAAAGACCTGTAGCACAAATTCTTCAGAGGTTGCCTGTGAAGAGCTTCATGGGGAAGGCCATGAGGCAGCCTGTACTCAGCAAGCCTGTTCCATCCATCGAGGCAGGGCTGTGTGTGGGCCACTATGGAAATTAGCTAAATATATACAAGGTAAAAGGAGTACCCTATTCATTAAATAAACTTGTTTTTCTATTTATTTATTTACGCAATAAATAGTGGTAAAAGGAGTATTCCTTTTCTAAGCTCTGAAGATACGATCCTGAAATATCTGACAAAATCTGAAATGTCAGATGCTTGATTGCTGTAGAAGCAGAATTGTTCCTTTAAGGTAGAAGGAAGGAATTTGTCTGTCATGGCCCATCTAAAACAAGGACTTATTTTGATTATAGTATTAGCTTGGTAGTTGAATATGATCTCATCACTGTGACAGATAACACAAAATATCAACTTGTCTGGCCTTAAAACAGCTATTTTCTTGGTTATATTTTTAATTGCTGCAACTAACATAGGATTCTGTAATTTGAAGAACTGGCTATAAAGATGTTTGGCAGAATTTGGGCTATGTATGGATTTAAGTAATCAAATTTGGGGATGGATAAAAGCATGACTGTCCAATGTTTTCTCTTTGACTTTTTAAATTTTATTTTAAGAATTTCAAGAGCCAGCAATCTTGAACACAACTTCTCAGTGCTTAAAATTTATGTATATCAGAACGTGGAAAAATAGATACCTGTAAGATGAAAAGTTGCTGCAGTCAATGTAGGCTATAATGTAAATTATTGTCTACCTTCAAGGAATTGTATTTTTGAATAAAGCAAGTTCACAAGACTGTTTTGAGAGATAGATGTTTGGGGTACTTTCATTAGAGGGATATGGGAATGCTGTTTGCAGAGCACACAGTATGCAGTCCCTGTGTGTTCAGTGGTATGTTTACTCTGAAATCTGGAAGTCAGGTGGCATCTTTCTTAGGTGAATGAATATTAGGTGCACTTTGTTCCTGGGTAGTTTTAAGGAATGCATTTTGCTTTGAATTTGTATCCAAGTGTGTTTCTGCATTGAAGATAGTTTCTTTCAAAAAAACTAACTCTCCTTGCTACCTTGAAATTAAGCCATAGATTAATTATTTACTCAATACACTGTTGGCTCCTTTGTGGACTGAAATGATCAGTCTGGCAGATAAGATTCTATTGGAGCGTAGATTTCGTCTCTGTAAGCAGCTGACCAATCTGATGTGCCTGAAAAAAATCAGCAGGTTTATTCATTTACTTTTTGTTTTATGTCAGCATCCAAACTCTTCCTAAAATAAGGAAAAACATAAGAAGTATTTATCTACTCAAATCTAATCACATGGATGCCTGGCATGCTTATTATATATTTGTTTGTTTTTCCAAGGTTAAATTCAAAGGCCACGCAAATGCCCTGGAAGGAATGAAGAATGGAAGAGATACTCAAAGAAGGTCCAAACTATTCTAATGCACCGATTCCCTCCATGATGTCATTTGGAGAATGACACTGACACCCCTCCACTCATAAGGAAAGAAAAGGTACAGGAAGTTCTGGATGCTCACGTTAAGTTTGCCCTAAATCCAGTTACTTTCTTACCTACTTTCTCATTCATGTATTAATATCCTCTCCTTCATTCTTTGATGTGCAAACATTGTCTATGTAGTTTATGCTCCTGCTGTATTTTCTGCTGTGCTAGGGAAAAAGAAAGGGAAAAAAGAAAAGCCCTCAGAAGAGGAATGCTTTTGCAAATGCTGTCTTCCTCTTTGACACTGTTTCCTTTCAGATTTCTGCTGTAGCTTGGACCTGCAAACCTAGTGCAGGTTCAATAGCTGCTGCACATTCCTTTGAACTACTCACCTCATGTGAAACTTTCAGTCTAGAAAGCCTTTCACCTACTCGCTTTGTGCACATGCTGTATAATTCATTTGGCTCCTGAACTTTATGCACAAATTAAGAGCCAAACCTTTTTCTTATGCTATTTTCAGTTCAACTTCTCCAGTGGGGAAGTAGGTGCCATGCACTAAATGAAGTAAAAGTCAAATGACGGAGGCTTTTTGAGCACAATTGGAGCTATGGTTTGATTCCCATGTCTGTGCAAATATAACATTGGTAGGTGCTGCTGAAACTAAGAAAAACTCTTCTATTTCTACAGATCCCAAGAGCTTACTATTCAAATGACTCCTACATTACATAGGGAACATAGGCCCTATTCTGGGCAACTGTTTCCATAGATTTTAGGGCATTCTTTGTTTTCAAAAGCCTGAAATAATTGCATGAAGCAGAGAGGGGTTTTCGGCCTTAGCGTAGGAAAAGTCAGGTTCTGATGTGTTTTGTTTTTAAGTCTTTATCAGAAAACTCAGCAACGGATCTGATTTAAGATGGTATCTGAAAACTGAACTGGGAAGACATTAGACTTTGTTAGTTGCAAAGAGTGAAAGGAATATGTCATATGTTTTCAATTTTATAGGCAGTTGATTGAGTTAAAAGAGAGACATGTATCCTTTTCTATACTACTCTCTTTTGTAAAATGTGTGTAAATGAAAGCCCTGGTTAACATAATTGAATCAATTAAAAAAAAAAAAAAAAGATGAAAAAATGGTAGAACTTAATCCTATTCCTCTGTTTTTTGAGATAATCCTGGAAAAGAGTGGAGAAAAGTTGAACTATGAAAAAAAGACAGTTAATGCAGTGCAGTGCTTTCCAATAGACTGCAGTGGGCGTTGGCTCATAATCACGGTTCATTTGATTTGTCTTTTAAAATGTTATAAAATTTCTATTTCTCTCTCAATAAAGAATGTTTATATGTACTGGGAGCCTCGTATCAAACAGCAAAATGTTTTCTCTACTCCAAAACTGCAGTAGCTATGAAGAGGTAGAGTGACAGGTGTGACTGTGATGAAGAACTCACTGCCCTGCAGCTTTGACAATTTTTTTTTTTTTTTTGGATGAAAAAGACTTGTGCATTAAGAACTTCATATTCTTTCCAAGGAATCTCACAGATAGTTGAGAGTGAAGACATTGAGTCATTCTTTGGGAGAGGATTTTGTTTTTATATCCTCAATACAGGGTGTTGCCATAATATTAATCATTATTATGGATAGAAACAAATACATGCAGGCTGCAGCTTTGACCCAGTCTGTTTTTCTGCTTTTCTGCATTGGTACTTAGTGGTGTGATTGTGTATTTTTTATATTTTTCTCTCAGAAACAGTATTTGTGATCATGCCAAAATGGAGCAACAGGAAATGTGACCCCAACTCTTCAAGCAAGTCAGTTCTCTAAGTTTTGAAGCTGTAAATAAATTTTTCCTGAATATTCTGATGTTAATGTAACTGTAAATTCATTTGTTCCATCTCTACAGTACTGTTCATTGAATTGTGGTCTTTGAGAGTTCAGACTAGATAGAAACAAATATTTCCTTGTTTTGTTTTCTTTAGAATTTAAATTCTGTTAAGCTTTAGAAAGAAAAACCAGTCTCTGAGAGACTGAGCACAAATTACATTTTATGTGGTTAACATGCATTAAGCTCTTGATTTTACTTCCTGTGCAATATTTTGTCAGATGTCCTCTACATTCTTCTCTCAGTTGGCTTCTGTATTATAAGCTGTTCTCCCACTCATATTTCAATGTCAATCCCCTTTTTTTCTTTCCGCTTAACTGAACCACCACTTTTCTGGTTCAGAAACCTTCTTTAAATTCATATCTTCAAGCCACAATAAGAGTTAGTAAGCTAGGGTAAGTCAAAATAATGTCAGCTTCTTCACCTTGTCCTCCATGTGTATCTTCTCTGTCTTGGTTTTCACATTATCAGCATCATCTACCTGTTGTATATAATATAGCACTTCATTCCTTTGCATGAGGTAACTTCTATCTGAGTATTGATATATTCTTAGGGAAAAGTATTTCCCCTTCGTAAGGCTGGATGTGATGAGGCTGGATTGTCTAAATCTGGATTGAATCTTGGATGTTTTAAAGTTTGGAACTGAAATGGAACCATATTTTAGATGTGACAGAGGTACACTCAGCAACAAAATTTTGGGCCTCAAATGGGCAGTCTACATTTGGTCAGCTGTTCCATTGCTCAAGATTAATGGAGCTATTTCAGGTTGCTCTCAGCTTAACATAACTTTTGCCCCTTTACAATGTTAAGTGTTTATATGTGGTGAGGATTTTAATTCTGTGTTTGAAACAATTCGGTTTCAGAAAATTTGAGAGAGAATGAGAGGCAAGAATGCACTTCTTCAGGGTATCTCTCCCACCACTGAAACTTCTGTCTGATTGCCCCAGAAAAGCTTCATCCACTGGCTTTGAGCACCAGAGACTTTGTGTACCTTTTAGCTTTCCCCAACTTGGTTAAAATGTTATGACATATTCTCATCATGCTCACAACTTTCTTGCTTTTTTCTATAGATTATTTTGTCCTAGCACCAAAATGACGTTAGATCTGAGAAGAAGACATTAAATCAGAAACCTCTCTACATTGCTGGCAAATCTCTGAAGTAAGTGCAAACACCAGCTACTGCTGACTCAGCCCTGGGGCAAGGAGGTTGTCTTCTCTGAGACACAGTTTGTGCTGAGTTGCAAAGAACAGGAAGAGAAGAGGCAGGGGAGAGGCCCACCAGAGAAGGACCTTGTGGGTCCTGGTGGATGAAAAACTTAACACGAGCCAGCAGTGTGCTCTTGCAACTCAGAAAGCAAATGGTATCCTGGGCTCCATCAGAAGAGGGGTGGCCAGCAGGGACAGAGAGGTGATTGTTTACTCTGCTCTTGTGAGGCCCCATCTGGAGAACTGTGTCCAGGTCTGGAGCCCCCAGTACAAGAAAGACAGAGAGCTGTTAGAGAGGGTCCAGAGGAGGGCCACAAAGATGATCAGGGGGCTGGAGCACCTCCCCTGTGAGGACAGGTGGAGGGAGCTGGGCTTGTTCAGGTTGGAGAAAAGAGGGCTGCGGGGTGACCTCACTGCAGCCTTTCAGTACCTAAAGGGAGCCTACAAACAGGAGGGGAGTCAACTCTTGAAAGGGCAGCTAACAACAGGACAAGGGGAAATGGCTTGAAGTTGAAGGAGGGAAGATTTAGGTTAGATGTCAGGGGGAAGCTCTTTACTATGAGAGTGGTGAGGTGCTGGAACAAGCTGCCCAGAGAGGCTGTGGATGACCCATCCCTGGAGGTGTACAAGGCCAGATTGGATGGGGCCCTGGGCAGCCTGGTCTAGTATTAAATGGGGAGGTTGGTGGCCCTGCATGTAACAGCAGGGAGTTGGAGCTTCATGATCCTTGAGGTCCCTTCCAACCCAGGCCATTCTGTGATTCTGTGAGATTCCAGGACTGGCAGATGTGTAAATGTAGTCTACGAGTGGGGCTGGGGCTGGGGCTGGAAGCTATCTTGAACAGTGCACTGGGATGAGGAGTACAATATTCATCATGAAGACATATTCATCATGAAGACTTTAGAGACAGTAAGTTAATTGAAAACCATGTTAACTTCTAGGTGTATCAGCCTGTGTGGTGATGTACAGAGGCATCAGAGAACAAAACATATGTAGCCAGGGCTGTGAGGATTGAGGCTTAGACTCACCTTTGTTTGAACATAAATAGTACATTGATAGAAATCAGGATTTGTCCTCATTGCTTCCTTCAGGAATATGGACACTATTTTATGCTAATGATGGTTTAGTCTTCCTATCAAGATCATGGCTGTTATTTATTCTGTGCTCCAAATACATCCATGCTTGTGCAGAAGTATAGACAAAGTTTTCTTTGCATTGAAGAGCAAGCATTTAGGGGTTTTGTTGTTGCTGTTGCTTGGTTGGTTTTTGATTGCTTTGTTTTTATTATTTTTTACACCAAATTATTGTGCAGTTTTAAGCCTGTTTTTTGTAGTTCAAGCCTATACTGTAGTTTTGATTTGTCTCCTCAAGAAAGTTTGAATTTTGTTTAAATAAATCTCAAACATCTTGTTCTTTACTCTTGAGATAGAAATTCCAGCAAGTGTTAAATCAGCTTAAGAGAACTTTTTTTTTCCTTTTTTTGAGCTGCTGGGACTGTCTACATTTTTTACTTCTTCTTTTTTTTTTTTTTTCCTTTTTTTCCCTTGATCTCTACTAATCAAATTGAACTTAAATTCTAAATTCTGGTGTTCAAAGTGGATCTGTGATCAGGCTGAAATAATTCATTCTGTCCCTGCTGAACCCAGCTAATCTACCTACAAGTTGTATTCATGTCCTTTGTAGTGCAACATTTCTGTCACCCAAGCAAGAAAAATAGATCTTCACATGCTTGGCCGATCCATCTAAGCCACTGTTTAGTGAATAGGCCCTTTGGTGTCTCATTTTTTTTCCTGCTTGTTTGATAAACTTGAGACATAGTTACTTTGAAGACTGGGCATTATCTACCTGCTCTGGGAATGGTTCCATGAAAATGGAGATTGAATCTCTAGGCTGCTGACAAGCTAATTCTGGACATTATTGCAAGCCCCAAGGTCGATGTGCCTTTCAACAGCAGAATAGAATTTCTGGTGCATTCATTTCTCATTTTAAATAGGTTTCTATAAAACTGAGTTACACTTTTTTAGTGGTAAGAGAATTAAAGCTCATATACATTGTAGAGGAATTTAAAAGAAAAAAGACCTTATTTTAAACTCTAGATTGAATATCTAGTAACAGTGAGTCTTCACTCATGTGAGCCTACATCCCAACTCTTGTTTAAAAAACAAACAAACAAACAAACAACAATAATGTGTTAAGAAAACTAAGCTGAAAAGAAATGATGAGCATCTATTTTCCAGGAAAGGACTAGGAGGGGTTTCTCGAGCAATATTTGTTTAGTAGCTTACAGGCACCACCACAGTAAGCCCATTTATTGACAGTTTTAGTGGGGAGGAGAAGGAGTTGAAAGAATGGGGATGCTGAGCTCAGTTTCTCCAAGGCGATGCATCTTAGCTCAACAGAGTTGAGGTCAGAAGTGGGGCTGAAAGAACCAGTGTGATGCTCCTACTCCTTTCAGACTGCTCTGGGAAGTGTTCACCCCCCAGAACTCACTTTGAGTTTAGGGCAGAGTACTGCAGCAGAAAGGACTATTGTGTACCTTCTGCTGTACAGCCAAAACATGCTCAGCTCTTTCATAATTGCCAGCTATTCTTGATCAAGGATATAGGCAGAATAGAGCCCTGGTGCATGTTGGCTTAATATATGGATATCTCATCTTGCATGCAGCAAAGCTGACAAAGATGATGCTTTGCTACGTAGAATAAATTATAATACACTCTAACTTCCATCATCAAACTCAGTTGTTACCTGAAAACTGTCATCCCTTGTTCAATTTTTTTAAATTTTTCTTCTTATTATTTTTTTTTCTGTGAAGGACTTGAAATAATGTTGGACTTGCTAGCACTTTCAGATCTGTATATAGACAGGCTCCTGGAGTGCCAGGAGGAGCTGGGCTGTCACCCCTGACCCTGTGAGGTCTGTATCCTTCAACAGGTGCTGGGTGTGCCAGAACAGAGGATCCACATCATTCTTGGGAAGTCAGCCAGGAGGCCTGCTGCTTTGTGCTACTATCTCCTGTGTGGATCTGACAAAGAAAAAAAAATAGGTTTTAAATACAAGCTAACAGCTTGTTAGAACTGAACAGAATTGTGAATAGAGACCAGCAGTTAGAACTACTTCAGTTTTCAAGAGAGTAACAAGCATAAATATCATAACACTTAAAGCAGGAGATTTAGAAGTACACATTCTCCAGTGCATTTATTTCCAGGCAATGCCAAAATGGGATTTTGGCAGGAATAAGAGGATATGTCCTGCAAACTAAGAGATGTGCATTCTGATTACTATGCATGAATATATGCAAATTGTTATCTCTCTGTGCTTTGCTTTCTCCAGGAAATAGAGGAAAATTGTAGCCAGATGAAATATGCCGTATCAATTATTTTTTTTTCTTATGAAAGATCCTTCCTCTTTATCCACACCCTGCAATGTGTGCCATGCTTTGCATGCTGTTTCTGAGCCCTCTGACTTGCTGACCTTCTGTGGGCAAATAAAGGTCTGATGTAACTTCCCATGAGTCCCATCTGATACCACCCTTTTGATCCCATCAAAGCTGTTTTATGATGACTGAAGGGATTGCTGCAGAGCTCTCAAAGTTCAGTTTCTTGTCTGACCACCATAGACCCCGACTGTCTGGGAAATCAAAACTGTGTCTGGAGAGAGTCTCTTTGCCTGTTGGAAAGTAGCAGAGAATGACAGCTATATATAAGCTTTAATAAATTTCTTTTGTGCGGTGCTGGGTGTTTATGGAATGTCTGTAATAGTGTGTGGTATTAAAGAAGAGGTTAACGTTATTGCTCGTATTTTCAAGCAAGGAGGAAGATACTGTTATTTTTAATGAAGTGCTTATGGCTTTGATGATTGCAGGAGTGT